GGGTTCGAGTACACTCAGTAGCGTGCAGCTGAAAAATGCAGAATTACAAATGAGTATTGACAGCTTGCACGCTGAGATGGTCACGAAGGAAGATCAACTGACGATAAGTCGTAACGAAACCGAGCAGTTGAAATTGGCACAGTCCAATGCACTTGAGGATACCAAAAAGCTGCAAGAGCAACTTATAACCGTGCAAAATGCACTAGAACTCGCGAATACGGAAGTGAAATTCAGAAACAAGGTGGCAGAAGAGGACAAAAAGAAAATGGACGAGTTGAGAAATATGGTCGACACTGTACAGACAGTGAATGCAAATATATCAGCGACCAATGCCGGGATGTCGAGGGCTTTGCAGGCATTGGAAAAGGAAAAATGCGAAACAGCAAACATTTTCGAACTCTTTGAAATGGAAGCTGATCAAAATATGGAAAAACTAAGTGAAAAGCTTGTGGAAATGAAACAACAGCTTGGTGATGCTCAGACGCTGCTGCAACACAAGGGCAAAACAATAGCTGAAAAGCAAATCGAATTGGAAAATGTCGTTGCCAAATTCGAAGCATCCCAAGCAGCTCTAGCCAGTGTGCAATCCACACTACTGGATCAAGCGACTCAAATCAATGAATTGAATACTGCAAAAGATGAGCTACAGAAGGCGATTGAAGAGAAAGGACAGACCGTTCATGCACATCACGCAGACTTACAAACCCAGCTCGATGAGTATAAAAAAGTTGTCGATGAAATGGGTGATGCCACCACGGCGAAAGTCGTAGAGTTACAAAGTTTACAAGAACGTATTAAGCTTTTAGAACAAGAACTGATGCAGAATTTGGAGGTGCAAAAAACATTGAAGACAGACAACGCTAGTCTGCAGCGCAAACTTGAGGTTGTTGAGCTTGAGAAAAGGCGAGAAATTGTAGCTTTGCAAAGTCGACTCAACGAACAAGAAGCACTAAACATATTAAAGCAGAATGATTCAGCTATAGGCAGTGTGCCTAAAGAGGTGAGCAGTTATACATATTTGCATAACTAAATTTAGAGTTTTTATAATTGCATTGATCTTCAGGGCGATGAAACAGAAGACAATACAGCACAAATTAACTTCCTTAACTCCATAATTGCCGATATGCAAAAAAAGAATGACACATTGAAGGCCAAAATCGAAGCGCTCGAGGCGTTACCTACTGATTTTACACAGTAAGTTCTACAAAATATGGTTA